CTGACCAAAGCCTCTGTGCCTCTAAAAGACCCTAATTCGATCCCCATCAAGTAAGAGTGAGAGAAAATGAGAAAGAAAAGTGTGCAGCAGGGCTGGAAACCCACCACATATGTACACGTATTTCATAACCCCCTGGACAGTTCCTGCCAGTGAGGAGACCACATGAGCCTAGACAAACCAGAAACCTCACCCAAGACTCAAGGGGCCAATTTTTGTTATTATATCCCCCCACTCTGCTCTGCCTTCAAACTGGCCAATAACAGACTGAAAATTCAACTGAAGCAACTTCTGTTTTCATCAGGTTTTATTGTGGGGGGGACTCCAGACACACACACAGCTTGCAGTCCGCCTGAAGTTTGCCCACTCCTGCCTTAGTCCATCTGGAGGTCTTCTGACAGAGGCAAGAGTCTACTGCTGATCAGTAGCTCTGTCTCAACTTTCAGAAGAAGGGATGTTACAGGGAAGGGCCTCTAAACCAAACTGACCCACTGGAGCAGCCACCTTAACATCAACCACATGCAGAAAACTGTCATCTATTAACTTCATAAGTTCCCCACTGCATTTAAAGGCAGGGCCAGTTAATGCTTTCATCAAAAAAGGTATAAAGAAAGCAAATTCAGATCTTCACCTAGGAACTAAACTAGACTAGGCAGTTGAATTGGGAAGCAGAGGGAAAGCATTTAAAAGTATGTGTCAGGGACAATAAGCAAAGAAGGGAACAATGCTCAGCAAACACTGGTGCAGCCTGCTGAGTAATGGTCAGGAAGAAGCCCAATATTAATATTTAGCCTTTCAGAAAAAGCAAAGCCATTTTCCTGGCTGCCATTCTTGAGGGATGCACTCAATTACAATTGGACCCCCTTGGGCTGAGTTCAGACAATTCATTGTCACTACTACATTATGGAATTTTCTCTTTAGAATGATGAAGTGGGGTTCTCACATATCTAATGACAAGGTGGGTTGCCTTCCTGGCAGTTAGCTAACTGTCACTCATCCCAATATGTTCAGAAGTGGGAAAGACAAATAACTATGTACTGGGGAAGATGATCAGATAAATTATCAAAGTGATGGATGGCTGAAATATGATCACCACCACCCCCGGTCCTCCCCCCTTCCCCCCCTTCCCCTCACACTCACACCTGAAAAGCATAAGAGGCCGGCAGGGGCAATGAGGAGTCTGAAGCATGAAAGCAACATCACCCAACTGACACTCACTTGATCTCTTTCAAGCCTTCCTTCTGGATAACATGAAGGATCTCTTTATGGCTCATAGGCGTGTTGGGGTTTTTCTCCAAGACCTAGTAAGAAAGCACAGACAAAGAAGATTTAATAATAATAATAATAATAATA